CTGGGAGCTCGGGACGCCAGCAGCTTGCGCGGTGCCCGTTCCAGGCGTTTCCCTTGGCAGCTGCGTCCCCAGGAAGGTTCCGAGGGAACCAACGGGCCTCGGTACCTGCCGATGCGGCAGCAGGCTGGCAAGGCGGGTTCTGGACTCCCCCGTGCCATCCTCCAGGGGAACCTTAAAAGCTCCCCGCTCCCTTGACCTAGGAACCAGGAGGTCACGGTTCCATTCCCAGTCAGGGCACATGCCCAGCTTGTGGGCTCGATCCCCAGTCGGGGGCGTGTAGGAGGCAGCCGATCAATGATTCTCTCTCATCACGGATGTTTCTATCTCTCTCACCATCTCCCTTCCACTAAGAAATCAATAAAAATATATTTTTAAAATAAAGAAGCTCCCTGCTCCCCTTGCTTACCCAGGAGGCCAGGGGTCTCCGGAACCAGAATCCCCGCTCCCCCCGACCAGCCCAACATGGAAGCTGCAGGACAGCCCGCCAGTGTCTGCTCTCGGCGCCCCAGATGAGCAAAGACATACCCACGGCTCGGGGGTCGGGTCCATTCCCACGTATTCCACTTAAGACGCTCAAACGAGCAATACCCTTTGGCAACGCAAACACATTCCTACTAGCTGAGTAGGCAGGACCGGAGGTTATATGCCCCAGTGGCCTTGTTCTGAGCTATGAAAGGAGGGTCTAGATTTCAAAGGCGCTGAGACAGAACTCTGCCCCCGGTGGGCCTTCGATCCTCCTCCTGTTCCTCCTGCGAGGAGCTGCCATTTCCTGGAGTCCTGTCTGAGCCGACTTCAAAGCGTCCCGAAGTCAAGCCACCAGGGCTTCTGCATTTCTCAAAAGGGCAGGCTCCCCCTGGCACCTCGCACAAGGCCTGGGACGTCATGGATTTTCAGTAACTATTTGTTGACTCAGTGAATATACAGAAAGAACTCAGTAGGGAAGCAGGGTCCCTTGGTAAATTACATAAACGTCAAATCACAATGCTGTACACCTGAAACGAATATAATATTGTATGTCAACTATAATTGAAATAATAATAAAAAAAAAATTTAGCCCCGCTGGCGCGGCTCCGTGGTTGAGCATTGACCTGTGCACCCAGAGGTCGCTGGTTCAATTCCCAGTCAGGGCATGTGCCCGGGTTGCGGCCTCGATCCCCAGTGGGGGTGGGGCGGTGGGCGTGCATGAGGCAGCCGATGGATGTTTCTATCTCATCATTGATGTTTCTCTCTCTCTAAAAAAACCAATAAGAACGTATTTTTTTTAAAAAATGAAGAAAACAAATTTAAAAAACAAAGAAAAACTGGATAATCTTTCATCAGTAAGTGTTTTTTTTCCTTCAAAAGCTACACCTCGAAACTCTTGGGTAGCCTCCCAGGGAATGGTACCCGGTGCCCAGGCAGGGCCCCCCCTGAAGCCGAGCTGGTTCTGAACTGCCAGCTCTAGGGGATGGGGGAGCCCGGCTTGTGCAGGGCCCCCCCTGCATGGCTGAGCATGGCGCCCCGATGAGACACATCTCTACCGGATGAGAACACTGAGAAACTGCTACAGATCTAAAACACTGCTTTCAAATAGTATAACGTGTTTCCCCGACGGCAGGTAGATGCATTCAGCGAGGTAGGGAGCGCACTCCATTCCAATAACTTGCAAGTTATTTAAATAACTCGGAAGGCCAGCACGCTTGCCAAACCACTGTGTGTGTGGTTGCTTCTATAATTAGGCGGCAATCTGCATCTGGGTCATGGGGGCAGGAAGCTGGGAAACATGGACGAGATGTCACCTACATACACAAACAGAGCCCCGGGGACCCCTCAGGGGTGGGGACAGTGTGTGCGTGCCACCCGTGCCACCTCAGCGGTGCCCGTCAGACGGCTGCTGGGTCAGACGTGCCATCTGAGGCCCCGAAACTGAGCGGAGCGAATGGCTCCCATGGGAAGCTTAGCGGAGACACGACACCAGCCTGGCCTTAGCACCCTGTGGGCCCGTGACCAGGCCTTCCGATGACGCGCGTGGAGAATGCGTCCGTCAAGCAAGCGAAGACCCCTCTGCCTTCGCTGAGCAGAACGTGCTTATGGAAACGGTGGCGCCGGCCGCGTGGAAGGTTTGGGGCCACGTTTAGAAACGGGTCGGATGAATTTCACGTCCTTAGCAGAAAGGCGGCCTTGAGCATGGGTCCACTTAGGGACAACGAAAAGCCAGAGTTCGGCCAAATGCTGGGGAGCTGGGAATTCATTTTTAAAAATAACACTTGAGGGATGGGAACGTGATGATTGGGTTTGAGTTCAAGAACTGAGTTAGTTTCCTAAAAATAGGCAGTCTTCTTTGAGGGGGCGGGGGCATAGGTATAGCCATAAGAGCCAATTCCTGCTATATTTTGGAAATAGGCAGTTTTCTTTGACGGGGCATATAGGTATAGCCATAAGAGCCAATTCCTGCTATATTTTCTCCAGTACGATGTTCAGAATGAAACAGGTGGTGTCTCCCAGGCATGGCCCAGCATTTGAGGCTTGTTTCTTTACAGTCCACGAGAGCACGCACGTTACTTCCTTCCTGTCAGCTCAGCGACCTGGCAGTGGCACCACCACGCTCACCGTGAGCACACCGTGCCCAGATTGTGGCGTCTAACACCATCTCCAGTGACCCCGGCTCCCCGGAGGAGTGGCTGAGTTTAGGGCTGGGGCAGGCAATAGACAAGATGAAACTGGTGCATCTTGTATAATTTTTAAGAAAATATTTTCATTGATTTTTAGAGAGAGAGGAAAGGAGAGGGAGAGAAACATCGCTGTGAGAGCAGAACATCCATCAGCTGCCTCCTGCACGCCCCCCGACAGGGCAGGGATCTAGCCACCACCTGGGCATGTATCCTGACGGATAATCGAGCCCACAACCTTTCGGTGCACAGAACAGCACCCAACCAACTGAGTCACACCAGCCGGGGCTCGTATAATTTTTTTAAAGGCCCAATTCCAGGTTGATGCTAGAGGTTTGGGGGTGGAGGTGGGGGTGTTGAAGAAACTGTAGGGAGACCTGGCTCCATAGGGGCCTTTCTTTTTAACGAGGTGGGTGCCTTGCTAGGGGGTCACAAGAGATAAACGAACTAGCAGTGAGCACGGTGGAAACGTGGTCCCCATGCCTTCCCTGATTGAGTGTCCGCTCCCGAGGGGGACACAGTGGCACCAGGCACAGCTCCTCGGCTTGCTCCTCCCGTGCTCACGGCCTGGGAGGGACCGCTGTGGCTGGGGTCAGCACGGGCCTCACAGGTAGGGGCGTCGGGAGCGAGCAGGACGCAGGCCCGCAGCAGCGCTGAGCAGGCGGTGAGGGGCGGGCACTCGGCAGGCAGCAGCTGCCGATGGGGAGCGGAGGCCGAGGGTCAGAGCGGAGCCCCCATCCGAGTTCCGCCGGCCCTGCCTGCGGAGCACCCGGGCATCATGCTGAGGACCTGGCTCCCAAGTCAGGTGTGGTGAGAGGGTGCCCTGACCCCACCCCGCCCCAGGCAGGGATGCCAGATCCAGACTCCAGGTGCATTTGGATTTAAGATAAACAACAAAGAAATTTTTGGTATAAGTATGTCCCCAAAATATTGCATGGGACTTATTTATATACTTGAGGCCTGAAATTCGTTCACGGGTAGGGTCCCTAGGCCTGGCCGGCAATCAGGGCGGATCGGGGCCTTCCTTCTCCCAGATGCCGTCTGCTGGCTGCCGGCCGGGGCCTGCCTTCATTCTGTGCCACCCCCTGGTGGTCAGTGCACGTCATAGTGAGTGGTCGAACTTCGGTGGGTCGAACTCCCAAGGGGATAATTTGCATATTAGCCTTTTATTATATAGGATATTTTTAAAAGACTGTTCATCTGAAGTCCAAGTGCAAAGGAACATTCTATTCTTCATTTGCTGAATCTGGCAACCCTACCACAAGGGGAAGCCCCGTGGCAGCGTCCACCACCCAGGAGACTTCAGGGTGCTGCGTGTTTTTGTGTTATTACAGTACCTGTAAACATTTAGATACTTTATGCAACAGTTTACTTCTCCTTGTCTGCATCCATCAACTCAGTCCTAGTTTTGCTGACTCATGGCATGACGAAGTGGCCCTTAATGTCTTGAAGATTTCCTCCAGCAAACATCAGAGTCACCGCGATTGGTGTGTACTCCGTGGATTCCACATGCAACAGTATCCACGACACAGGGATGCTCCGAAAGTGCGAGATGGCCCTTAGATCCTCGGACCAAACCTCTGGCCCTTCCAATGCTCCCTTTCAAGCGAGAGCCGCTCTGAAAGGAGCCCGTGAACGGCGGGAATCGTGCTGCTGCTGCTGACACAGAGGTGGCCCCCGGCAGCCTTGCAGGAAGGATTTTCACAATCTCAGCTACTTTTACAAAGAAAAACAACCTGTTTTCTATTATGAAAAATAACCTAAAAGTAGTTCCCCGCAGCACGACCGTCTGCGGGTCCCTCCGAAGAGCTCATGTTTCTGTAGATTTTCTCGATTTCCTACTGTGCCCCCAAGTTCTGAAATCTTAGGAAGTAAGACGCAGCGAACTATTTAATCCCATTACTAATGCTGCCACTACTTTATACTCTTCCTTCACATCACAGAAGACGCAAATCACACACGTGTCAAAGTCAACTGTGAAGCTGCATTCAACCGCATCCTAAGCTCCACTAAAAAGCTGCATTAAAATGTTCCTACCAATAATCGATCGATAAAAGCAAAACTTCGATGATCTAGACGTGACTATAGAAAAAGACCGGCGCTCGGGAAAGAAAAGCCCGGACGCGTGTCTGGAAGTGGGCGCCCTGGTGTGTGTGTGAGAAAGCGACGCTCAGCAGGTGCAGGCAACGCCGCCGCCCTCGGCACCGCCCAACCTTGGTTTGCCCGTCCTCTTCGTGAGCAGGAAGACCCCACTTCCCGGGGATAGAGTGAGCGTTAGAGTAAAGAGAGAACGTGAACAAGGTCTGGATGTGTCCGCAGGAAAGCGGAGAGAAAGGCAACGTGAGCACTGACCTCGCCGCGGGCGCTGCGCCTCGGGTTCCGGAAGTCTCCATCCAAGAGCGAGGCGCTGACGACCTCATAGGCTCCTGCCCCGTCCTCCGTCCCGGCCAGCGTGGCAGGTGCGACGGTGCGTCCCACGGTCAGCCCTGCAGCAAAGAGAAAGCGCCTGTCTTCAGCCGGTCAGGGGTCAGGGGCCAGGGGTCGGGGGAGTGTGTCCGGGAGGTGAATGGGGGTAAGGAAACCACCATCGACTAATCGCAGTGAGTGTTCAGCTGGTGAAGTCCCTGCCACTCCAACCACAAAACTCTGCAGCTGAAAACAAAACTCCACTTTTTCCTTCAAGACTCGGGCACGTGCAGGGTGGGTATCGGAGAGGAAGTATGTCATTCCGACCCCCACCCCGCGCCAGGAGCACCCACTGCACCGGGACCCGTGAGCGAGGGATTCGAGCTCTGCCTGAGATCGATCGGCTCTCTGCCAAGTCCCCAGGCTTCGGCTGTGTTAGGGCTGAATCCATCTCCCGGAGCCGGGGAACCGGCTCAGCACCTTGCCAACCCCTCGCTGGCCTGGCACAGGCTAACTGTATGTGCTTCGGGGAGGGAATCTATAGACAGAACTAATTTGCCAGCTCAGACCGACTAGCCTGGGCTGTGAAAAAAATTAAGTCATTCAGTAAACGGCTACGTGATCTTGTTCCTCGGGTCCTGTCTGTCCACCCAGCTGCTGTACCGACACCGGCTAGTGCCGCCCGACTCCCACCGACAGTCCTGCGGGGAACGGCTACACTTCTCCCCTGGA